CATATCAAGGTTTGTGACTTCGGCTGCAAAAATTAAAGGTTTGGGTGTAATCTGCAACAAAATGAACGGTTGGGGACCGCGGCCGCAATTTTCCCTTTATTTTTTGATTGGATTGGGCTATTTATTCTTGGGCCCAATACTCAATATATATATATATATACACATCCCAGCCCCCAGCAACTATAATTCTTATTTCCATTCCACGGTTCCACCACTCCAGCCTTCAAGAATCAAGAGGCGACCTCCCACCTTCGAGAAAAATCCTCACGCAGCCTGCAGCCACCGTGCCTCTGCCTGCCGTCGGCCCGTCGCCCGTCGCTGCCGAGTTCGCCAGTGACCGACCGGCGACCACCCTCTTCTACTCTTCTTCCGTTCCTTCGCCGAGACGCCCGTTGCACTTACACCCGTAGGTTTTTTTTTTCTACTGCCCATCCTTTTTTTTTTGTTTTTCTTTTTTGTTTGGTGTTATCGTATTTGATTTTGATTTCATGTTTGCAGCTATGGTTCGTTCATCGAGCCGTCGCAGTCAGTTACCCTTGTTGGAGAACCCAAATTTAGCAGCAAGTGTGTCTAAATCCAACCATTCTATGCAGACTAATAAGAGCTCTGGTTCAACCGCTGTAGCATTAAAACCTCGAGCCAACCATTCGTCAAGATTTACTAATGGGGTAATGCGGTAGTCAATGATATGATTCAAGTTCTGCAACAATTTTATGCTTTTGAGGGTTTTCAAAAATTTGCATTATTGAAGATTGTTGTGCTATTGCAGGAATACAAAGTTTTGGATGAGTATGAGGAGGAACGTGAGAAGTACGAGGAAGATGGTGGTGTACAGGAGTGCAGAATGGAGGACAGTCACCTGCCCACACAGGGGGAATTGGAATATCTAAAACAGAGAAAACGATTGAAAGTGACAGTCAGGAAACAGATGAACAAGGAATTAGGGACTGCTGATCCTAGTTCTCGTGATAAAACCAGTGCAGTGTACAGGAAAAAGTGAGTTTCATTTGCTCGCATTGAAATTTTGATAATCTTGTGCATATGAGTTAGTTATTGATGCGATACAAAAGGAATAATTGACTTGAATTAACTTTCTCTACCCCGAGTTTGAAAAGATGTCCTTTTACCGATTCTTCTGGATCCGTTATTTAAGACAGTGTAAAGTGTGTGCTATAGCTGATATTTGTGGCTGGTATCTTTTTGTGTTTTCACATTGAACATATTGTCATATTTCCACTATATTTGGTACTTGTGTAAGATTTCAACCCTGTCTGGTGTAGATCAAAAGTTTTTTAAAAAAAAAAAAACCTCAAGTCAAAGACAACAATTAATGTTAACCCCAACTTTTCAACCACAAATTTCATCAACTTTTATTAAAATATGATTTTAATTTACACCAAACAGGGGCTTTATAAGTTGTGGTTAATATAGCTTTTTCCAACTATTAAAATTGGTTTATGATTTTATTGGAATTCCTTTCAATGCTGTTGTTTCCAAACAGGTCTGAAATTTGTTGCTTAAATCGTATCTTATATCAATAGTGTAACTCTTAATGTATTGTATTCGTGTATATATACATGTATGCGTTCCTCAGAAGTATTCGGTTTATTTCTAATTTCAAATGATTTATTGCAGCTATGGTTTGTTCTTTGGGTCGTCACAGTCGGTTATTGCTTCCGGAGTGATTCAAGAAAGCAAGTCCTTGTTGGAGCCCCCAATTTTGGCAGCAAGGGTGTCTAAATCCAACCATTCAATTTCGGTTAGGTCAGTGAGATCAGTTCGCCTGGACTATCCTAAAATTTGTAAGAGCTATACTTTGTTTGACAAATTTATATTATTATTCGTTTTTCTCAGGTCTTTATATGTACCTAAAGTACTTATTTTTTACTCTTAAGTAAATGTCATACAAGTTTAATAATTACATGTAATAAATTAATATCTTATTGAACTTTCAAGTTATAATCTTATAACTATCCTAACAATTACAGAGATGCAAGATTGATTTTTTTTTTTTCCAAGTATAATTAATAATTTTTCTCCAATCTACTACTACTCTCCGCTCCTCAATTTTCGGTTCTGTTATTTTTTTAGTTATTATGGAGTTGTTAAATTGTTTCCTTATGATTGTATTTCTTAATTATGGAGGTTAACTTTTGGTGGGCTTCTTGCTTTCTCCATCTACATCTTAATAGTTCGAAAGAAAGTGAGGGAGGTGAAGATGTGAATTTTTGAGCAACAATTTGAACATTATGCAAATATCAACAAATAATTTCAGCGTAGCGAACTGGATAAATGCTTGCAACTTAAATGATATGAAATGATTAAGATTATGTTTGAAAGGAGTTAACCAGCAGGATTACCACTGAGTTATCGGGTTGAATCAGTAACTCACCTCTATGTCCGGGTCGATGTCTGGTCGGGTCGGGTCTGAAAACTACGCTTTTTATATCTTTTATTTTTTTGCTCTTAAAGGTTTGGATATCTGATATTACTTGATATATTAATTTTATAAAGGTTTGATTTAGTTTCGTTCTTTGCAATTTGTCTTTCATCAATTTCTTTTTGCAGATTGAAATGACTTTGTATAGTTGGTTTAATACCGTGGCTAATAACCATATTGAAGGATTGCCTAATTTCATGTCGTTTCTGTACCGTTTAAACTGATAATACATTTCCCATGTATTATCTATTGTTTTTTAATATATTCTTCGATTACTTATCAAAAAAAAAAAAAGAATTAGCTTTTGTTTAAACTGATAATACATTTTCCATGTATTATCTATTGATTTATTAATAAATTCTTTGGTTACTTATTAAAAAAAAAAAGAAAAAGAAATGACTTTCTTTCTTGTTTGATTTAGATTTTAGAATCGGGACAACCGGAAACATTGGGAAGAAGATGGTTCTGACAAGCTCGTTTTTGCCTGATGAAATTATTTTTGAGATTCTCAGTTGGCTACCAATTAAATCATTACTAAGATTCAAATGTGTCAGCAAAATGTGGTGTTCCATAATTCAGGATCACAAGTTCATGGATAAGCATAGGCACCAAACTTCTTCTACTATGATATATCGAAATCCTATTATGATGGTTGACAATCTTGAAGATCCTGATTTTCAATTGGTAGCATATGAGATGGGAGTGATGTTCGAAAGGAACAATAAGAACGGAACACAGCGACTGAGGAAGCCGGCTATCAGACAAATCCTTGATTTGCCGCGTACACCTAAATATGAAGGCATGTGGTACATTCGGGCAACTAATGTTTTGAAGTTGGTTGGTCTCCATCATCATTCTGTAGTAGGATATGGAAGCTGGATAGATTATTCTGTTGTTACGGTTGATTCTTATCTTACACGGAGAGACTTGTCTTGCTCAATTGGCTTTCAATGCCTAAGGCCGCTACCCCCAACAGTTATAGGGACGATGTTCTATGGCATCAGGCTGGGATTTGAGGGCTATCATGAGATAGATTGTCTTGATTTGGAAATTGACAAAATTATAAACACTGTTAAAATCCCACATGATTTCTTTTTGGACTGGTCAGATGTCTGCCCCTTGGTCTGGAACTGGAAGCTATCTCTTGCCAGAATAGAACAAGAGCAGTTGCATGTTTGGGTCTTGGAGGACTACAGTAAGCATAAATGGGCTGATGGCAAGATTATTATACCATTGACATTCTTGAATGGGAACATGTCGAGCAAAGACGTCATGCCCTGTGAGATGATAGGCCGTAAATTGTTGTCATGGGTTATTCGCGATCATTGTTACCGGACGTTTTCTCTCTGTTGATATTGAATCTCAAAAGGTAAGGTTCAAAGGAAGGCGTCCATACAGTATTAATGCTTAGAACATTTTCACCAATCAATTGTGCAAATTTCTGCAGCATTGCGTGAAGATTTTGTCAAGTAGCAGAGTAGGATTCATGCTCGTTTTGGTTTTCTTAATGTTTATTTATCAACTTTTTAAATCTTAAATTGCATTTTTTTTAAAGACAACTCTTTATTATTGTAAACGGTCCATGCTTGGTCTATATTATGAACTCTTAACCTCTGGTTTCTTGGACAATCTATGATGATTTATTGATTCTTGTGGATTATTCTTGGATTCAATTCAAATTCTGATGCATATATGATAAAGGATTCTGGATTCTGCGATCCTACGTACATCGGGGATGTGGATATGCTCCCATTGTGGGTGGTGGTCTTGGGTAGATTCCTGTGGAATGAGGTGCTTGGCTTGTAGAATTAGCCTGTTGGTAGTAATCTGTAGATAGATGTTCTAGTATTCTAATAAGCAAAAAATCTTATTCTGAAGAACATACTCAGGTGCTTGACTAAATCGTGTTTCTGTAGTCACCCAGCAGGAAATATACCAATAGTTCAGCCATGTAAAAGTTGCTCATTAGGGAAATAGTTAAAAATTTGTATCATTTTGCCTGGAAAGTCTATCAGCATTTTGATAACTGAATCTATCTCGTTTTCCTTCCCTTTGAGAGAGAGAGAGAGAGAGAGAGAGAGAGAGAAGGGGGGGGGGGGGGGGGGGGGGGGGGGGGGGGGGGGGGGGGGGGGGGGGGGGGGGGGGGGGGGNTTTCAGTATAGACATCAAAAGAGGATTCTTCAAGGACCTATTATTGGTACATTAAGGTAGTAGCCTATTTGAAAACATAGTGCAACGTGTAATTGAGATGACAATGTACCTGCTGGAGGATAACCACTTAGAGCCTGACGGTTGTGTGTGTCAGGTTGTGGAGGGTAGCCCATAGGAGGACATGACTGGGGAGGATACGCATCAGAAGGAAAAGGAGATGAGTAAGTTCCTGGATTAGGAGCGTACATAGGAAATGGTGATGGAGCTGCTGAATTAGGAGGGTAAGGACTTGGATTGGTTGAACTGGTAGAAAATGGAGATGGGGTTACTGAACTTGGATAAGATACAGGGGTGGCTGAACGTGGAGGATACAAATTATTTTTAGGGAGTGGGTGGGTGGGTGAGTATGGAGGGAAAGGAGTGGGTTGGGGATGGGGCAGGAGATGACGGAGGATAAGGGGCGGGAGTGGTTGGATTTGGAGGAAGGGCTGCTATATAATATAAGGTGGTTGTGCAGGGTATAGCATTGATGATGGATTGTAAGTACCCATTTTGGGGCTATGCCTATGTCCAGAGACGTGATTATCTGAATTTGTATTTTTTTCCCTCGTCCTCTTAATTTTTCCAGACTCATTTGTTCTTCATTCCACTGAATTACTTATGATTTATCAATTTTGTCACTTAGAGAGAGACAATTTTTAATTCCATGTTAGTTATTGTTTCCTATTACTAAACCAACACCAACACCAACACCATCACCATGATCATTCTAATTCATATATTGTAGAAATTATTTTCGGGCTGAATGTGCAGTGACCTTCATGAGAGCTTTAGAAATTGTGAATACGTCGGTTTTGAATGGATTCCACGGCTTGTTGATATGTGATTTTTTGATTTGTAGGTAACGTGTGTTGATGTTGTAATTATTCATTTTTTTTTTGGGATCCGTAAAATTAATTATATTGATCAAAATCGGTATACAAGTGCTCCGGACATACCCGGGTGAATCAATAATGCAGTTACAAGACAAAACACCAATTAAACTTTATTTCGTATGGAGAATATAATGCGACTTTTCTTTTAAACCAACATTTTTTGAGGGATTGTTAAAATCTCAAACCTACAAAAAGAAAAAAGAAAATGACACACTAAAAAAAGTGACAATACCAAATTAAAACTTATGCTTGTCCCTCAAAAAACTAACAATTTTTATTTTTTTAAAAGTAACAAACAATAAAAAAGACAGACAGACAGACACATACACACTCAAAAACAACATAGCTAAACCACTAATCTACTTCAGATAGAAGAAAAAACATCAGAAATGGCTCCTCTATCCAAATGATTGCTAATGAATGAAGAAAATTACAATACTGCAAAACCTACATTGTGTTCACATGCACTTTTTAGGGACACAAAATGGATTTGTCCGAGAAACACAGAATACAACCTCTTGTAATTCTAATCATCATAAAATACAACTTCATTTTGGAAATATAAATATGTAGCAGGGCTGCTATCAATTGTTAGGCTTGTTATAGTTGCCCAATTGTCCTCCTACATAATGCAATTTGTGCTTCCCAAGGTAAAAATTATTCTGCAACAAATCATAAGACCAAAACATCATATAATACTCTTAAAATATTTTAAGAAATCCATTCAAACAAAGGAAGTCCGAGAGCAAGAAGTGCGCACGAATGTTAAGTGCACTTTTCCGCAGATTTTGTTCTCAATGATAATATAGCAAAAGATTCCAGAAGAACTGACATATGTTTCTCCATTATAAATATAATACTGTGTGTAGTTAATGGCTTATAATTCAGTGAGAGGTGGGAAAGTTAATTAGAAATACAAAAGTTGAAACTTTTCCTTTTCAATTGCTCACACAAAGATTTTTACGAACTTTTCGACGAAAATAAAACATCCACATCATTATGGAGTCAAGTAGAAGAATAATAATTTATCAGGAAAACTAATAGAACTCCGATCCTAACCTTGGATTGAATGAATGGAGAGAGAAAGATAGGATTTGATGATGGTTGATCGAAAACGAAAAGGACTAGCAGAGAGAAAATCATAGATTTATGGTTTGATGGGGTTGAATTACGTTCGTTTTCTTTAAGTTTTATCGTATTTTACATGACTAATGAAAGTTTAAGAAGTGAGAAGGTATTGATCAAATTACTAATTATTGGACCGTATTGTGCCTAATTTTCCCTTTATTTTTGGGTGACTTACGAAAATGCCCGTAAATTTATGGGTATTTTGAAAAATCATATAAAAGTATTTTGGAAGAAAAAAACATTGTGCAAAATTAAGTGTAAAAAGTGACACACTGTCACTTCTTAACGTTAAGTCTCATTTTTTATTATGTATGTCACTTTTATTAAAAAATGATGTTTGTTACTAAAAAAAAAAGTAACAAAAGTTTTAAGAAAGTGACAAAAAAAATGTGACTAAAAAAGTGGTAGAAATTCAAAAAAAAAAAGTGACAAAAATTCAAACAAGGAATAAACATCGGTTAAAACATTGAAACAAGTTCAAAAAAGTGACAACCATCATTCCTCCTTTATCTCCGTTCACCGCCAAATATCTTTAAATTAGTTCATCGATAAGACATGAATCAAAATGTCTCAGCCAACCCATTGACCTCCACTTAAGGACAATGTCATTTTTTTATTAAAAAATGATAGAAATTTGAAGAAAGTGACATAAAACAAAAAATGTGACTAAAAAAAGTGAAACCATAAAAAAAGTGACACAAATTCAAAACAAAATGAAAAAAAAAACAATTAAAACATTGAAATCGGTTCGATAAATTGATACAACCATCGTCCCTCCTTTTTCTCCATTCACCATCAAACATCTTTCAGTTAGCTCACCAACAAGACACCAATCAAAATGTCAAGCATATTTAAGTCAATTCACCTTCACCGTCATTCCCCAACTAAGCTAACTCATCGACTTCCACTTAATGAAGATCCCAGTAGGAGAACAAGCTAAGTTTTTTTTTTTTTCAATTTCCGTTGTTAGAAGAGGTCATTGCCTACACCAATAGTTGCGGCCATCGTTGCCAAAAATCTCCACCAACACCTCCTATTGTTTGTCTCTTCAACATTCTCAATAGCGTTTTTGGTAAGGATTTAAGTATGCTTTAATTGAAAAATTGTCTTTTATTTACGTTTTTTTCCTTTTAGCCTCTTCCACATACTTCGAATAACTTCAAGGTAACAAGAAAATAGACAAAAAAAAAAAAAAAAAAAAA